AAAAAAAAAAAAAAAAATAGAAAAAGAAGGAAGGAGAGGAGTCAGAGGGGTTCCCTCACCTCTGAGACAGAGAGATACAAAGACAGTGACAGACAGAGCCAGGATGGACAGAGACCCAGTCAGATGGAAACAGAGTCTTAATCTATTTGGGCTGCTATAATGAGATACCTAAGGCTGAGTGGTTTATAAACAACAGAAATTTATTTTTCACAGTTCTAGAGCCTACATAGTCCAAGATCAAGGCACTGGCAAATTCAGTGCCTGGTGAGGGCTGCTTCCTGGGACTTAGACAGGCAGCCACTGTCTGGCTGCATCCTCACATGGTAGAAGGGCCAAAGGGTCTCTCTGGGGTCTTTTTCATAAGGACACTCATGCCATTCAGGAGAGCTCTCCCATGACCTAATCACCCCCCCCCCAAATGTCCCACCTCCTAACACTATCACCCTGGGGTTACGATGTCAACACATGAATTTTGGGGGAAACAAACAGACTTTAGCAGGCAGGAGAAACACACAGGAAGAATGAAAGATGGGACAGAGATCAGTGCCTAACATTGAGACTTACAGAAATGCGGAGACAGAATGGGGAGGGGAGCAATGCCAGGGAGAGTCAGAGTCCAAGTCTGGGGGTGTAGAGAGTCGCAGATGTGGACACACAAAAATGGGCGTGGTAAGCTGCCCTGCATGCCATGGGGAGATGCACTGGAGACAGTGAAGGGGAGGGGAAAGTGGTGACCTGGGGGCAGGCCTGGGTGGTAGGGATGAGGGTTCCTGCTCAGCTCAGGGTTTCTGCTTGTGCCTGCAGCCTACAAGGAGAAGATGAAGGAACTGTCGGTCCTGTCACTCATCTGCTCCTGCTTCTATGCACAGCCACACCCCAACACCATCTACCAGTATGGGGGTGAGTGTGCCCCAGCTTTTGGCCCTGCTCAAAAGGGCCTGCCCATTTTGCCTGTCCCCATGCCTCCTGGGGCCTCTCTGAACACCCCTGGCCTGCCTGGCTTCTGGAGAGCAAGGTTCTGGGACCACCCTAAGGGCTCAGGCTTACGAGTGCAGTAGGAGTAGCTACACTCCCTCCCTCAGCCTGCACACTCTGGCTGGGCCTCCTGAAGCCCCTGTCTGATCTTGCCCTGCAGACATGGAGGTGAAACAGCTGGACAAGCGGGCTTCTGGCCAAAGCTTTGAGGTCATCCTCAAGTCTCCTTCTGACCTGTCCCCGGAGAGCCCCGTGCTTTCCTCACCACCCAAGAAGAAGGATACCTCCCTGGAGGAACTGCAGAAACGACTGGAGGCAGCTGAGGAGCGAAGGAAGGCAAGGAGATCTCTACCCAGCCCACTTTAGAAGTCCTGACTAGGGCAGCCAGCAGGCTTCATTGGCCATGGCAGACAGGTCCCAGGTGCAGGGTGCTCCAAGGCTCCTATGTGTTGGGGCATTGGCCTGGGACAGAGAAGGGTACATGGCTCCTTGGACCTCTTCCTAAGAGGTCAGAATGGGCTGGAGAGGAGGGAGGGTTCCAGGATGGCAGCCAGCTGGAGGAAATTAGGCCCAAACACCTCAGGTGAGAGTGGGGGCACCCTGAGGCATGGCCACTGGGGTGTTACCTGGTGGTGTCCAGGAGGGGCACTGGGGACATGAGGCTGGGCAGCCCTCTCCTAGGCAGCAAAATGGGAAGGAACAGTCTCACATCTGAGAACCTGAAGCTGGGTCTGCTTGAAGCTTGGTGGGGCCCTGGGAACTACAGGAGTGGGCTCCACGCTGCCTCTCTGCTGCTTCCCTCACACTAGCCCGTGTAAGATTGACGTGCACAGAGTAAGGACTTGCTTTGGGGGTGGCCCTGGACCCCACGCCCATCTCTCAGCGGAAGCAGCAGGTTCCAGGGGGACCTGGGGACCCAGGTTGCATGGAGTAAGCTAGTAGGGACTGGCATATCGTGGTGACTCAGCAGCTATCCTACCCTCCTCCCCGGGTTCACCAGGCAGCCCCTCCCCTAGCGGGGCCAGACACTGTGGCACCAGCAGCCCTGGAGACCCAGGGACCATAGGGACCCAAGGACCCAGAAGTTGGAATGTACGAAGCACCGGCTTGGTGCTCCGCGGGAGAATGTGTGAGGAAACAGACGGAGACAGCGCAGTGACAGCCCCTAGTGTGGGATTTCCTGAACTCTGGAGGAGGGGCAGCGCGACAGGGTGCCAGCGAGGAGACAGGAGGCTCTCGGGTCAAAAGCTGAGTCACAAAGGCTGAGCATCCTCCGGCTGGGGCAGGACCGAGGGGGTCTCCAGGCAAAGCAGGCCAGAGTGCTCACCCTCGCAGACCGCAGGACAGCGCAGGCTGGAGCTCCTGGAGGACACGTGACCGGGGCAGCTGTTGGGCTGTGGGTAGTGGGGATGGTCGGTCCGCTGGGAGCTGACCCAGACAGCGCCGGGGGTCCAGCAGTCCACGGAGGCTCTAGGCAGGTGGAGGCGCCCATTGAGGGGGGCAGAGGTGAGGCCGGGGACGGGAGTCGCCCTCACGCTCCCGCTGCCCTGCGCAGACGCAGGAGGCGCAGGTGCTGAAGCAGTTGGCGGAGAGGCGCGAACACGAGCGCGAGGTGCTGCACAAGGCGCTGGAGGAGAACAACAACTTCAGCCGCCTGGCAGAGGAGAAGCTCAACTACAAGATGGAGCTCAGCAAGGAGATCCGCGAGGCCCACCTGGCGGCGCTGCGCGAGCGTCTGCGCGAGAAGGTGCGCGGTAGGCCGGGGCCAGGCCAGGCGGTGGGCGGGGAACTGCGGGGGTAGAGGGCTGAGGGGAGCTGGAGACGCTTAGGAGCAGGGCCTTGGCGGGCAGGGGGCGGGGCGATCGGGGCGGGGCCGGGAAAGATGTTGGGCCTGGGCGGACGCGTTGAGCGAGGGGCTAGACCCGGGTGGGTAGAAACTCAGCTGGGGCGGGTGGGGCCGGGGCGAGGGGCGGGGCCCTTGAGGACCGGGCGGACCCAGCCGGGACACGGATGCAGGGACGGGGCCGGAAGTGGGGTCTGGGGACAAGAGGTGGAGCCCGGGAGCCCCGCGCCTCCCGCAGTGCTCGGCTCTGGCTCGGAACGTGAGTGCCCTGCTGGGATACAGTTGAGTTGACTGTAACAACAAATAGATCAACTTGTTAAACTGGAAGTGCCGGCTCGGCGGGTGTGGCTCAAGCGGCTAAGACGCCAGCCACATACACCTAAGGTGGCGGGTTCGAATCCCCAGCCCATCATGCGGGAACTGCTCCAGGGCATCCAGG